GACACAGCCAAAGACTCCGTAGTGCTGGTGCAAGGACAGAGGAGGGGGGCTCATATCACTCTTCCCCTCCAAATCTGAGATAGAACAGAACCAGGAACTAAGGGCATGGTGAGAAGGGAGAAAGGAAGGAAAGGAATGGAGAGGAAGAGCTAGACAGAAACCAAGCACTCTTTTGCTGATTGGTTGGTTGCCATGTGACCCTGCTTACAACATTTCTCATTGGTTGCTTGCCCTCTTCTAGGGTGAAAGAACTAGGAACAAAATTAGAAGCCTTTTGGGTTGGCTGGGGCACACTGGTACCTGATTGCCTACCCATTTCCCTCTAGGGATGATCAAATGCAGATGCCTGAAAGGGGGTGGGAGAATCTCAGACTYCTTTTGTGTTTGTTGTCTTGTTTCCAGGTGAAAACAACAAAACAGTAAAAAACTGACCTGAGGCAAATTATTTAAGGGGAAGAAGATCTAATTTGTGACAGGAAGAGGGATGGTATTTAAATGAAAGTTTTTAGCTTAGAAACCAAAAAAGAGGGTGAGGAAGTCATTGAATACCTCAAGAGATGTTGGCTATGTGAATCTGTTACATAGAAGTCCACACAGCCCTCTACACAAAAAGGGAACAAAACTGAGACTTGGGTAGGAGTCAGAGAAGGTGGTGAAGTCTTGCCAGGGTGTGAGACTTTTTTTCTGGCTAAATTCCTGGCAAAACACCATTGACCTCTATGCTAGGGCCCTGGGGAGGCTTATGGGAGTGCAAGAGTCAAATTATAGGCCATGGAAACTCCCAACTCCCCATGCTTGGATGGGAAAGTTTCCAGAAACCTTCAAAATTACAGACTGGTGGGGAGGAGAGAGTTGAGGAGGATAGGTAAAATGGGGAGGAGAGAACTCAGGATCCAAACACTTCCCAAGGAAACAAAGATCTCAGGCTGGAGGATGAGAAAGGCCAACTCTTGGAATGCATTCTTCTCACAGTGAGACTCTGCTTGATTCCTGCTTTTGGGTCTCTGTCTTCCCAGAGTCTGCCTAGCTATTTCTACTTGATTCTCTCTCCTTCCCTAGTCTCTTGGGCCTGGGCATATGAGTGTGCTAACAGCATTCCCTCTTCATCACCCAAATGCACCTTTCCACAAAGCAGGTACCCAGACCTCTCTGGCTCCAAGTCAGCCTCCCCTTCCGGAAGTTTGTTCCCTCTTCTCCACTCCCCTTTCCATCTCCTGTTGGCCTTCTGCCTGCTTCTGGAGGAGACTGAGTTCATATGTTGTCACTTTCCTGGCTTAGCTCCTGGTGACAGTGACGCATGGGAGTGAGTATGCACTCTCAGGTGTGGAGGACATGTGCCTCCCATGCCTGATTCTTCTGCTACTCCTCCCCCCGGAAAACTGAAGGGAGCCCCTCCAAAACCCACTGAGGAGTGACCCCAGGATACAATGCCCAGATTGGGTCCTGTTACCTCTATCCCATATAGATCACTCCTCAGGATGGAAAGCGGAAAGCTTTCTAGWCCAGCAAAGATATTGTCTCCATTCCCTCCCATTCAATACACATTGATATTACATTCACAGAGGAAAAAACCTCTAGGCCTCCTGGGGCCTAAGTTTTACCTGAGCCAAGGACTAGAGATGCCAGGAAGATCCCAGCAGCTAGAGGCAGGGGGAAGCATGAACTGCACTGGCCCCAGACAAAGACCCCAGACTTTGGAGACTGGGACTGCTGCCCACCCAGGCCTAGTGGTGAGGGGCGGGGGAGAAACTTTGGGAGCAGTCCAGGCAGCAGCCTTTGGGTCTGAAGCCACAAAGCCCTCCTTCCCTGCCTTTCTCCCCAGCTTCCCTTTCTGCCTGGATTCTGGGCCACTAGCCAAGGACTGAACTGGCCCCTCCCTGGAACAGAAGACCCCAGAGGCACTTTGCACTTGTGTCTAGAGTTTACACACTTGTACAAACAACAAATAGAAACAACCCATGTCTCTGCCACTGGCTTTCTTCCCAACTGAGAGGGAGTGAGGAGGACCTTGCAAAACTCTAAGGAACCATGGCGTCTTTCTGGTTTACATTCAGAGACAAAACGGGGTAGGGAGGAGAAGACTGGTTTGGGGAGACAAGTTCCCCTCTTCCTACTTCCCAGCCGCTTCCTCTCCTCTCCCACCCCAGCATGGGGAGGCTTCCCCCCTCCCCTTAATGAGTAGGAACTGCCTGCTTTCAAGTGGTGGAGGCGGGGGAGTTAGGTAAATGGGAGAAAGAGTCTGAGAGAAAGAGAGAGAGGGAGAGAATTAACTTACAGCGTTCGCCTGGGATTCATTTGCGAAGATGTAACCTCTCTCGCCATCATCCCCAGCGCCGTAATCCCCTCTAACTGCCAGGCCCTCTGTCCTAGCATTAAACCTCACCAGCAGCTGCGTGGCTGGACAGTTAAGATTATATATGATGTAAATATATTGTGGGTTTGTCAGCTCTCCCTACACCATAAAACTTGGTTTAATGACATCACGTGGTCCCCCAAGAGCCACTCACGGGCTTGCCTTCGGGCCATTCACATAAATAACCTCCAAAAGTTTCAAACTCCTAAATTCACATAGAAGCTGTGCCTATTTTTCTAATGCTCAGTTACACTAAAAAGCCCTCGTGCTTCTTTTTTGCCCCACCCCCACACCCCCCCTTGCAGGGTGAGGAGGGGAGAGAGGGTGGATACTTATTTATTTATTTACTTACTTAGTTACTTGCTTACTTATTTCCATAAGGACCTGTCGCCTTCGTGGTCGTGTTGATATTTTTTCTTCCTATTTTTTTTCCTCCTCYCTCCTCTAATTGCTCAGAGTGGGCCGTGTCCCCTCTTCCCACTCCCCCGGGAAGGTAAGTCATGCTTCTTCCCCTTCTTTCTGGCTGCCAGAGTGGGTGGGTTCCAGGGAAAAGTGGAGAGGCAGGCTTGATGGTCTCCTTTTGGGACCCAGAAGCCCCTTCACTTACTCCTCCAGAGCAGTGCCAGACCCTGGTACCTAGAGATTGTTCCAGGAGGCTGGCTGGTGGGGCAGCTTCCTCTGGACCCTAAGCAGAAGCTTCTGCTCAGGGGGAAAACAAGGGTCTGGGCCTCACCCACCCCCAGTGCAGGGGAGTAGATCCAAGGCCTGTGGCTCCTCTGCCGCTGCTGGCGCTGCTGCCGCTAAAGCTGAGRCTGGGCCTGGTTGCAGGCCTGCAGGCTGTGACAGGAGGGAAGAGAGCAGGCATCTCCCCAAGCCTGGCCACGCTGAGGCAGTCCTTCAGCTCCTTCAGGGAAGGAGAGGCCCAGACCCTGCTGGGAAGAGGCGGACAGTGCCAGAGGGAACTGGTGCACCTTGCCTGGTGGGTTTGAGCAACATTGTCCCCAGTCCCAGTAAAACCCTTGGTTCTCCCCTGGTCTATCTCCTGGGGAGGAAGCATAGGCCCTCTGCAGCCTGGGAGGCTGGTGTGGGTGAGTGCAGGCGACATTGCCTCTTTCTTAGTTAACTGTTACCCACCGGAGACGCCAGTGCTTCTTCATGCTTCACTGCTTGCCCAATAGTTTTACTCAGCATGGAGAAAAAATTAAAATAACTCCCTGAAGAAAATTACACATTTTATTTCAGAGAGGGTGGAGAGGGAGAGAGAGAGAGAGAGAGAGAGAGAGAGAGAGAGAGAGAGAGAGAGAAAGAAAGAAGAGTAGAGTTAGTGCTGGTGGGCTGGGCTGACCCTCTGTGCAAGTTGAGAGATATCACTGGTGCTCTAACCAGGCCTGAGTGCAGTATGAAGGGGAAGGGTAATAGCAATGGGTGCTAATCATGGGGTGAATAAAAGCTCTTGGGTCTTCTAAAAATGATGGACTGGTAGCCTAGACAGTAGGATGCAGCAAAGTCAGTCCTTATAATAAATCCAACTAGCATCAGCATTACTAATCATAAATATTCCCCCTGCCCCTCCCCAGAGCGCCTCTGCTCCCTTCCTTCTTGGCTGTCAGAGCAGCCCCTTAGCCCAACTCCAGAACCCCACCCCACCAGTGCAGGGGGCCTAGGCTAGGCTCCAGGAAATCACCCCATTGTGGGAGGTGGGAGAGGAAATGCAGTAAAGTTTTATAGACCCTTTTCACATTTGTTTCTCCTATAAAGTGCTTCCTCCCCCAATTCATCCCAGGAGCCTGGAGGAGAGAAGAGCAGAGCCTAGGCCCAGACCAGACTCAGAGACCACCTGAATTAACTGCCTTTCCTCTCCCTAGAGGCTACTCTCCCTCTTCACACAAAATCTGAGCCTGAGATAAATGATGGCAAAAAGACATGACACTGGCACTGGTCTATACAACTCTTATCCCACTTAATTGTTCTGCATAGCCCTAGACCTCCTAGGAGGAGAGGGAAACCACTTGCACATTTCCTGCCAGTCAGGTATACACTGCATATTGCTCTCCCTTTCATCTCCCCAGCATCTTAGAAAGCTGAAGTACACCTAAGTCAAATTCCCCAGCACCACTTTGTCCAGCAGTACCAACTCTCTGGGAGGTCCTTCTGGAGCCAAGTGGGTCCTTAGACTAGGGGCTCAACCCTCTTATGTCCAGTAAAGCCCCAGGACCACCTAGCCCTAGGGAGATCTTCAGAGACCTATAAGGGCCTGAGTCTGAGCACGGCGGAGCCACTGATCCTCCCTACACATCAGCTCTGGTGTGGAATGAGGGATACTGCCAGTCTAGAAGTCTCAGATACACCCAGCCAAGGGGGGAATGAATGTAGAGGCCTGAATACCCTGGGTAGCCACTGCATGGGAAAATGCCAGTATGGGAGGACCGGGTGCRCTCCTCTTCCCTGGAGGTCCTTCTTGGAGCTAAGAATCAAGAAAAGAACTCACGTTCACTTCCCTCTTCTTGCTGTCCCTAGAAGCACCTAAAAAATAATTTTTTTTTTTTTTAAGGAGAGGCTTAAAGACTGTAGGCCTCCCCTAACCCTCACAGCTCATTTTGACACTTTGCCCCAGTACATGCCCTAAACAGACAGGAGCCACTGCGTCTTTAGTCCTGTTCTCTCTTGGTCTTTATTTGATATGACAAAATATAGTTTCAGGAAGAACCCCGGAGTCAATAAATAGTTGGGCAAGAGCGATGGAGCAGGAGGGAAAGAAAGTCATGGCAGGAACTGTGGGATGGCATGGAGCCTCTGGGATCACTTGCTGGGGTCCTGTGGCAGGAAACCCCAATAGCTGAGCTAGCTAGGGGGTTGGGGCTGCGGACCTGAGAGGGCATGCAGCAGGCTCGGATTGGGTAGGCTCCCAGTCTTTTTTTTCCCCCGGGGAGAGGTTTGGAGAGGATAGGGCAACCAAGAGGACCCTAAGGCCATGTTCAGTCATCTCCCCCTTTCATATGCAAATCATTAATAAGTGAAGACCGAGTTTAGTCGCTATAAGGAATCGCCCCGATTCTGGCAAGAGACTGCCAGGCATAAGCACTCTCACACCAGCTTGCAGCCGCCTGGCCCGCCTAACAAGGAACAAAGGAAAGCTCAAGGCCRGAGGTCGGGTCGAGGGTCCTGTGGCCGGGCCCACCTTAACTCAGGCGGGCCACTCTGGGGCAAAGAGCTGAAGAAGCCGCCCAGGCTGAGGTTTGTTCAGCACCAGCCTGCGGTGTGCCGCAGCCCTCTGGGGAGGCCCTGCAGAGTTTGCCCTGGGCCCTGAATGTCCAGCTAAGCTGAGCTCTGAGCTGAGCTGAGCTGAGGGGAGATGGGGCAATGCCGGCAGCCTGGCAGGAACCCTGGGTTGGTGGGGATACAGAATGCCAAGGAAAAAGCGCTTGTCTGTGAGGCCCGGGAGCCAGTACTCCAGCCCCTGACCCACCCAAAAATATAGAGAGAAAACCGAAAGAAAAGGCGCGAGGAACCCAAGCCGGCTGGGGTGATCTCTGCGGGCCTCCCCACTGCCTCTAAAGAGCCTCTTTGCTTTTCATTTTGGAATCTTTCTTCCACTTCATCCTGCGGTTCTGGAACCAGATCTTGATCTGTCTCTCGTTGAGACACAAGTTGTTGGCGATCTCTATGCGCCTGCGGCGAGTGAGGTAGCGGTTAAAGTGGAATTCTTTCTCGAGTTCCAGAGTCTGGTAGCGCGTGTAACTGGTTCGGGACCGCTTGCCGTCCGTCTCTGGAACATAAATCCCCCCAAGCCAGGAAGGGGTGAATAGCGTGCAGCGCCCCAGCGTCCCATCCCAACCCCAGGCCCCCACCCGCGGCCGGAGGGAGAGGAGGCGAGAACCGCCAGACAGGCCCGGTGGGCCGCAGGCGGGCCGACCCAGCCCAACCTAGCCCCGGGAGAGGCGCCTCCGCCCAGGCAGGAAACTTTCCACCGCAGCCTTCACTCAGCAGTCGGAGGGGCTGAGGGGGGGTGGGGGGAAGAGGGAGACCCAGGCTCGGACCGAACAATAAGCACCCTCGAGATCCGGGCACCGGGGACCCCCCTCCCGCCCCTCCCGAGTCGCTGGAATCCGCCGGAGCCGCGAGCGCCGGCCGAGCCGGCTCCGCAGGGGAGGGAGGGAGGGAGCCGCGGGGGGATCCCCGCTCTGGAGCCCCGCGCTCCTCACCCTTCAGATCCCTCTATTTTTTTAACTCCCTCCCTCTCCCCCAAAAATTGAATATTGCCTTTTATACACGTTTTGTTCCTATGATCCAATTATGTCGTCGTAAATTTGGGCGCACACAGCCTCTAAGCCTTTTAGTGGACAGTTTTACGAGCCATTGATGCCTGGATCGTAAAATTTATGGCCGCAGGTTTTTTTTCTTTATTTGCCCCGCATGGCCTATAAAACCCAGGCGGACCCGAGCGCGCAAAATGAAGTCCTAAAGTTTACCGTGGCTCATGTGCAGTTTGGTCATCCACGGGTAAATCTGTGGCGGGGCCGGTGGCTGGCTCAGTCCGGCGGGTTGCCCTGTCTGCGCCTGCTCCTCTTTGATCTCCCCACTGCTCTTAGCTCGCTCCTCCAGCGCCGGGCGAGCTGCCTTCTGACTGTACATCCCGGGGTTCAGAGGAGCCGCTTCGTCTCTGCCCAGAGCGTGTCCCGGAGCGGCCGCGGCGCTGCAGGCGGGGCGGTCGGGGTGAGCCCGGGGGTTGGCAGCCATGTCTACCCCGTGGAGAGAGTTGGAAGGCGCAGGCGGTGGGAAAGTGATGCTTAAGTCCAATCCGCCGTAGCAGTACCTGGATGCCTGCACCTCTGAGGCCGATCCATAGTTCCCACAAGTTTGCATGTTATAGGCAGGGATATTGGGGCTCTGCTTATAGAATGAATTGGCTACGTAGGAGCTCATGGCGGGGAGGGCCCAAAAAAAATTTCTGCACCCTTTTTGATTAAGGGTGATTTGTGACTCTTTGAAGTTGAGGGGTTTTTTGTTCTCCAAAGTGCACAATTTATAGGTGGAGATATCTCTTTCTTTATCCTATGCGCTCTTCCCAAATAAGGGAGCCTTAAATAGAGTCACGTGACTCGCACGGCCACTCATAAATTTGGCTTGATGACCTCCGGGAGGTTAGTGATGGAAGCCGGCGAAACGCATCTTGATATGTTGGCAAAGCCCAAGCAAGGGGGAGAGGGAGTGAGAGAGAGAAAGAGAGAGAAGGGGGAGAGAAAAAAAAAAGGTTCTTGGAATTGGGGGGTAGCCGTGACAACGAGCCCACAGCGACACCTGGTGTCTACATGGAAGAATTGCATCCTGAAGCTCTGGTCGCCTTCTGGCAGCTGGATTTTTCTACCCTGTGGAGAAGCTGGTTGTAGCTGCAACAAATCCCTGAGCTGGCCTTTTAAATTCTATTTAAATTTGAGAAAAGATAAGGTCCCATTTAAGATACACAGAGGTGCCTTTTTAATAGATAGTCCCATTCTCCCTTCCTCCAGGGCCTTCCAAACTTTAAAAATGGATGAGGAAAGGGGAATTTAGGTAGTGTGGCTGGCTCCTGYCTAGGTTGGAGAACCAAGGGGGCTTATCTCAAGTTTCCTAAACCAAAGGTCGAGGTCCCTTGCCTGCAAGGCCCCAAGGCCCCAAGGCCCCAGTACTACTGAGGAGGTACCTAAAAATATGGGAAAGTAGACTCCTTGGGAAAGGTGGACAGAATTCCCAAGAGGAAGGGGTCCTGGATGGGCAAAACTAGACAGGAAGGTCATGAGGCTGAGAGTTCTGGAAATTCTCTGGAATGAACCTGGAAGTAAGATGGTAGATAGACTTGGGTAGACCTCATCATGCCAGGGACCCCAAAGTGACAATAAGGCAGTTTTCAAAGTGTGCCTGTGTGTGTATGCAGAACCGGACACAAATGGGTGGGAGGACTTTTCCCTGTGTGTGATCCTCATGTACTACTCATGCCAGATATTTTAGAAAGAAAATAGATGCTACTAGAAAGCATGGAGAAGCAAAATTCAAGCCTCCACAATTATTATCTAAGCAAAGAGATCTTTCCTTTGGTGCTTTTCCAGGCTTTCCAGGAACCTGAATCCAGAAGGCCCACAGGAGAGCAATTTCTTAGCTCTTCAGAGGCATGGAGAGGACCCGGCTGAGGGGGCTGGCAGAGCAGATGCCTGGGCAACATTGGCAGCCTTTGGCCAAGGTCTCTGCAGCCCTTCTGCCCCTTCCTCTCCTCTCCTAGTCCCAAGTCTTACTCTTTCCTGCTTGCTCTTTCTCCCCAGGAAATCTCCGCCTCTGTCAGGAGAAGCCCCCCTTCCCGCAGGCSGAGGCGCTGGCGGGGATTTGGAGAATCTGGAATACTCTGGTGGATTTTTTTCTCTTCAGGAGACGCCCCCCCTCCCGACCCCAAATACACACCACCTCTCCACTAGGCCCACTCAGGTTTTTCTGACTGGGCTTGGGGAGAGAAGGCTGGAGCTGAGAAATGGTTAGGGTMCTGCTGCGCCCCTCACCCGCCAGGTTTGAGAGAAGGAGGAAGGAACCAGACRAGCTGGGCGGTAAAGAAGGAGGAATTTTGTTCAGGCCACTTCAGGAGTYCCAGCACAGGCGAGAGCTCAGTTTCCAGGCTTTCTCTTTCGGGATGTCCTTGAGTCGTTCAGTCCCGGCCGAAGGACTCCAATCCGGCGGTCTGTTCTTCTGGTTCTCCTAAACTCTCCGCCTCCGCCACGTTTCCCAACAGCGGGCCTGGTTTGGGCCGGGGACTGGCTGCCGAGCGTCCCCCTCCCCACGGTCCTGGGAGTGGGGGGGAGGAGACCCTGGTGCCTGGAAAATGCTTCTCCTATAGCCTTTAGGGCTAGGGGTTCAGACGCCGAGGACCCCATGCTACCACAGGCAGGAAAGAAAGGCCTGTGTGGGGCTTGGAGCCCAACCCTACTAACCCGGGCTCCTCCACCCCCACCCCCACCGAAATCCTAAACGGCTTTTTTTTTTTTTTTTAATGGGTGTGTGTCGGTTCGCGTGGGGAGCCCTGAGAGACTTCCCAGCCCCCCCAGCGCGGTCACGAGGAAAATTCGGAGGCCGGGACTCGGCGCCCGGCTCCCGAAGAAGGCGAATGCAGAGGACTGGGGGCTTGCAGGCGGCGGGCAGACGCGGGAGTGCTTGGAGCCTGCTCCAAGCCGGCGGCTGAGCGAATTAACAGAAAGGCAGATATAAACTTTTAAAAATAATATGTTTTATTAAATATTCGAGAACGGATCCAGAGGTCGGATTTATACAGGAGGGTAACACGAGGGGATTTATTTATTTATTTTCTCCTACTGGCTAAACAAATGTCATTCACTTTTTTTCTTTTTTTGTAATTTTCCCTCTTTTTTCCCTTTTTTTAAAATGAGATCGGAACACTGAGGGTTCTAAACATAAATATAAATACAGAGACCACAAATACAGCTAAAAATATTCACACAGAAACGGTCACAGTTTGTAATATGCCATAATGACCCCCAGGAATATTTAAATACAATTTGCCTGGGCTGGGCATTTGCTGGGGCAGAGGGGCCGGACAGGGGTTGCGGGGAGGCCCTGGGGGTTGCTGTGGGGCCCAGGCGCGCCCTCCTTGGGCCTCCGGCTCTCCCGGGCTGCCAGGCCGGGCCCTAAGGCCCGGGAACAGAGGCCCCAGGCCCGGGAGCCCGCTCTGGGCGCGGGGGTGGGGGACGTCAAGCGACTGGTGGGGGGAGTCATGTCCTCATGTGGAGGGAGATCTGTGGAGTCTGAAGCAAGGCTCAGGGCTGAGAGCCCCCAAGGCCTGGGCGGGGAAAGGGGCCTGCAGACAAGCCGAGAAGGAGCTAGCGAGGGAGCTAGGAGGAGGAGGAGGCCAATGGTGAAGAGTTGTGCGGTGAGGGAGGGGGTCCAGAACTGACTTTCAGGTCCACGTTTGACTCCCTAATTTTGCTTTAAAGAGTCAAAACACATCAATTGTGCCAGTGATAAATACAGAGTGTGTGATTAGGGGAGAGTTGGGGTGAGCAAAGGGAGAAGGAAAGAGAGGGGTGGCAAGGACAGTCCTGGTCACTCTTTCTGCTTCTCCTCTTCTGTCTCTTCCCGCTTTTCCTCTTTTCCGCCCAGGCTGTCAGCTGCGGCCCCTCCGCCGCCCCCTGAGAGCGTGGACGTGAGATTAGATTCTTTTTTCCACTTCATCCTGCGATTCTGGAACCAGATTTTGATCTGCCGCTCGGTCAGGCAGAGCGCATTGGCGATCTCGATGCGCCGGCGCCGTGTTAGGTAGCGGTTGAAGTGAAATTCCTTCTCCAGTTCCAGGGTCTGGTACCGCGAGTAGATCTGGCGGCCGCGCCTCCGGTCTGCTCCATAGCCGACCCCTAGAGATCCGGGCACAAAACACACTAAAAACAATCAGCAAGGCGTCCTCTGCAGACGATTCCCCCTAGCAAAGTCCTGACCCTCCCAACTTGGCCTGCAGCTCGAGACCTCTCTAGGTCTAGTCTTCTGCCTTTTGCCCTGCCCCACCCCCACTGGGGGTACAGCCTAGGGCCCCAACTTCATTCAGTCCTCCCATAGGGTAGGAGATGTGTATCCCAAAGAAAGGTGGGGGGCGGGGCAAAAACCAGGCAGAAAGCTGCCAGTCTAAAATCTGATTTTTATAAAAACTCAAATACTGGGGATAAGGGCCCCATTTCTCAAGGACTGGGCTCCACACCTCCTAAGCACCCTAGCTCCTTAAAAACTTCTCCCCACTTTTCTGTCCTCCCCTTTCCCCCTCCCTTCTCCTCAGCCTAACTCGACTTTGGGGCTCCCCCACCACTGCCCCTTTCCTCTCATCCCCTGCCCTGTTCCTTCCCCCCTCAGCTCTCCCTGAAGCCCTCCAATCCACCAGGGGCTGAGGGGGCCTGGCCCCTGTGAGCCAGCGCGGGAGGCAAACAGAGGGGGCAGAAGAGGGGGCCCTGTCTCGGCGTCGGCGAGGAGACGAGCGTGATTGTTTTTATGGGGCCATAAAAAACTCTCTCCGCCCGTTCTTCTAGGGAAGCCGGTCATAAAGCCAGTTCAGTTTATTTAATTTATATCTCGGAGCTGTAAAACTCACCACTGTGCGAATTCATTCGCTGCATCCAGGGGTAAATCTGGATACTGGCTTTCTGGTCCTGGGGCGCAGTCCTGCCCTGCTCAGAACTAAAATCCTGAGCGATTGAGGTCTGTGTGTTATGTCCTAAGGTGTTTTGTCTGCAGTTTGAGAGCATGTCTTTCTCCTGGTAAAAGGAATTAGATCCATAGTCATACGGCCCCCGGCTGGAACTGAACACGACATTCTCCTGTGGCGAATAAAAGGGAGTCGAGTAGATCCGGTTCTGGGCAACGGCTGCTCCATAGGTCGAGAAATGCCTCACTGGATCATAGGCGGTGGAATTGAGGGCGACGTTAGGGAGGACGTCCTGGCCCCCGGCGAGGTGGCAGGATAAGGAAGGGTTAGTGAAGTAGGAATTCATCCCTTTGCCTTTACCTGGTCGGGCTATGATTTCTTTAATATTTATTTCTGTCTCCAGTTTGTACTCGGAACTAGATGGTTATAGGGACGGCTCCAATCCAGGACAGACAAAATGACAAAGTCAGCTGACCCCCTTCCAGCCAATCGCAAGCCAGATGTCAAGAAGGGGGAAAAAAATCGCTTCTGCTTCTGTTGATTCCCTAGTTGAGACTAAGTGTGTGATTTGAAAGTAAGACTTGGATTTCTTTTTAAAAATATTTATGTGGAGAACTGGTTTGGGGGTGAAGCAGGGGGTGCATGTTCATAAACAGGACCTTAGGACCCAGGGAAGGAGAGATGTACTCCCAGGAAATCTCTCAGACCCAGATAACTTTGCTCTGCTGTGGCCAGAGCCTGGGCCAGAGAAATCTCTGTATTTTCAACCTGATTTCATCTTTTATATCTTCCCCCTTCTAAAATTACATTCTGTTTTCTTCATGGGAGGAATTCCCTCCCAGCTCAGAGAAGGCTCTCAGAAATCCTACAAGAAATCTTGGTTGACACTCCATGGGGTGAGTCTCCATCACTAAAATGCTATATTTTTGTCCAATAATTTTAAAAAATCAAAAGGAAAAAGGAATTTCATAAAACATGGTTCCCAGAGGAAAGAGAGAGTGGCTGAGAGTCTTGGGTTAGAGGAATGTGGAGAGCAATTAGGTTTAAAGAGGTGAGACTGAGATTGCAGGGAACAGTTAAGTTGGCAAAGGAAGCACGCATCTGTTCTCCTCTGCCTCCTATCCCCCTTCTGCCTCCTCCACAGGACCCTTTCTGAGGAAATACTAGCAACATTTTTGCTTAAAAAGGAAAATGTATAAAAATACAATAGAAAAAGGAGATAAAGAAGTAAAAAGTGGGAGAGATGAGAGAAGGGAAGAGAAGAAAGAAAACTCCCGAGTCTTCTTTCTAGAGACATCAACTCCTGTTTATGTTGGTGAGAATTTATGATTTGAAGCCAGCGAGGGCCGGTGGGGTAATTCACACAGGATCCAGTCTGGAAGAGGAGAGAAGACTGCTGGGGCTCTAATGAACAGTTAGCTTCTTGAAGCTCAAGCCCCTGCACAAGTCAGAAACCCCTACCCGCTCCGGATTCACTGCCCTGCCACGGGAGGCGCCCCTGGACCTGAGTTCTGATGCCTGAGGATTCTAGCAAAGAGGTCCTGGGGAACTCTTTCCCAAGTGCCAGTCACCCCAGACTCTCAGCAGGCTTTCCCTCCTTTTTCTCCCCACCTTGGAGCTGAGAGGAAGAAAGAGATGGTTAGAAAAAAATGCAGCTGGGTCAGAGGCTTGAGACAGCCGCAGTTGGCGAACTGAAACTACGAAGGTGTGCAGAAGGGGGTTTGCCCCTTTTTAATTCAAACCTAATTTGATATGGCGACATAGGCTAAAACTGCTTTCAGTTGACAAAAAAATGGGTGGTGGGCGTATGCAGGAATCAGTGAAAGCTTATATTTTCCCCCTCACTTTTTTTTGGGGGGGGGCGGTAACTGGCTATAACAAGAACCCGGATGTCGCCGGATTTTATGATCTTTTCCTTCTGTGTAACAAAGCGAAGTAATCAATGGGTAGCAATAAAGCCATAAACGGGACTACGCTGGGAAAAAAACTCATTTATTCATCTTCTGTAACGTTAAGGTTTCCCTGGAGTGTCGCTAGGGGGGAAAAATAAAGTTTCAAACCCAAAAGCAGACAGTGTATAGGAGCTGGTGCAGTCAACATGTTAGTTAATACATGAACCTCTTTAGGGGGTTGAAGAGTCTTACTACAAGACGATTTGTATTGGCTGTAAAAAATATCCAGACCCCATCCTTCAGAAAGGAAGAAAATTGGTTGGCATTTAGAAGGGTGGATAGGAGAAAGATCCCCATAATTATAAAGGTTTCTCCCTTTAGACTACACTTTCTTCTTCCCAAGGAGAGGAAGGTGAAAGGATAGAGGAGGATGCTCACATTAAGAAAGGAATTTTAAGAGGAAGTTATCTCATTTTGGGGTGTTATGACAGGTACACATAGACACGAGTGTGTGTGAGTTACTTTTTTTTTTYCCCTTGAATCCAGCTGTCCTCGAATTCATGGCATGCCTGGGCAGAGGTTTCCAACAGCTGGCTGGGGCTCCAATTTCCCTGGAGGGCAAGAGGTAGGGGGAAGAGAGAACAAGGGGAGGGGGTACCCTAGAGCTGGAATAGGAAACAAGTCAGCACCCCTGGATGCAAGTAGCCTCTTTCAGATTTGCCAGCCTCCTTTCTGCCCTGAGGGTAGCGGTGTAACAAGTAGAAGAGGCTGGAAGAAAGAGTAAATCCCCCCCCCAATTTCAAAGCAAGATTGCTAGAGGGATAAATCATGTCAGTGATATTTCCTTCAAGATATTAAATTGTTGCAATGTACAACAAATTGAATGATGGAAGATAGGATGTCTTAATGAGGTTTCGCTTTCAATGAGTGTTGATTTTTCTATGTATTTTAAGACCTCTTTTATGGATGGGTGGGAGGGAGGGAGCTGGAAAGAAAGAAGGGGTTTCTTGGGGAAGCATTGCAACAGCCCCCCAGCAAAGATGCTTAAGTTTCCTTGAGCCTCTCCTTAAGCAGTTCTGGAGAGGAAAGGGACCCCAAAGTTGGGGACATTCTCTTTTGGGGCCTAAAGTCGGTGGGCTTGGGGGGTGGTGATCTGAGGAACAGAAAGTAAGTCTCAGGCCCTGAAAGTTAAGTGTTTTATTACATCCCTAAACAGAGGGCAGAGACTGAAAGGTCTCGCGGATTTATAATGAACAGAAACCAGCTGCTGGGGGAAAAAAAAGGCAGAAATGCTGGAGGGGGGAGAAAAAGGGAAGCAGAAATACAAATACATTCCCCCACTGCTTAAAGACTGAAGGCAAAAATAATTTCCAACACAGTTTATTCCTCCATCACCTTCCGATTCTGAGAAAAGAAGCCTCCTCCTTTCAGTTAGATCTTTAATTATGCAGCTGAAATTTGCTGGAAGGATTCGCTCCAAGGGGGTAGAGTAGGTCAGATTAGCTCGATCTTCCCTACATTGGATTATTTTTTCCTTTTCCCATTTCATGTTAATTTTATTTTTTTGGCAAAAGCATGGCTATCTGGAGGGGAAGAAACTGGAGCGTGGATTTTTCTAAATATATTTATATTTTCCTGTTAAATTTGTCTGAAAACAATTATGGAAACTCATCAGCAGAAGCAAGAACAGATGTTTTATTAAAACTGCAGTTGAGCTCTGTAAATATGCACAAGTCTTGGGAAGGAGGGAGCGAGCAAACTCATTCTTTGTTTCTATAAAACAAGCCTAGAGAAATCAGAGAACACCTCCCATTAGACCGGCAGGTTTAGGAGCTTCTCCGGCCCCTCAGCTTTTAGAATTAGCCATTCAGAAGGGGCTTGGTGTCAAAAGCAGTTTTTTTGCTCTCAGAGCTGTAATTAGTGGATTCAAAGACAGAATTCAAAAAGGCAGAAAAGGAATGAAGGGGGAAAGTTGGCACTCCATGCTCCAGTCTTCCCCCTCCCCAATCCAAAACACATGCTTTCGGTGAGTACTAATTATAGGAGAGGAATTTACTGCTGGCGCCTTGGGCCTGAGTGGGGTGCAGTCACCGCCCTGGACTACCCAAGGCTAAGGGTCACCTTGGAGCTGGGCATTTGGGGGTTTCCTAGGGTGCCTTAAGTCACTCCTATTTGAGCCCTGTCCCACTGTAGGCCAGGGAAAGGCTGGTAGCTCCCTTGATGGAACTGGGAAAAGAGTGGTGGGACTGCCCCTACCCAGAGCCTGAAGAGGTTCATGGGCAGGCCTTGCTCTGCCTGCCTTTCCGGTTCACTGTACTCTGGGAAATAGATTAATTTTTGGTGGAGGGACACGTGAAATGAACACGATGAGATCTGGAATTTTTATTTGGGGAGAATCTTTTCCAAAGGTCCTCCTTAGTTTGTGTTCTGCAGGGCTCCTCTCTCTCCCCAGATCCCCAACTATGTCAGGATGTTTGTGACTCACCCACACTCATACACAGATACAACACAGTCCATTTCTGGCTGCCTGTACCACCAATTAGAGCTTGGTGCCTCCGAAAGCTGCTCAAGGACCCCAACACTGGAGCCACAGGACTCAGCACTCCCTTGGCCTGGGTGCTTGGCTGCCTGGAAGCTACTACAGCTGCCAGACTCTACTCTTCCACCATTCCTAATTCTAGTTTTCCAGAGCCAGAGAAGAGCGGTTGCCCCGCCGGCCCCTTTTGTGCCACTGGGCGAGGGCTGAAATCCCTCTTACAGAGAAAGCCGGTTCAACAATTGCTCAGCTCACCTCACAATCGAACTATTTGGTTAAGGCTTTTCTGTTCTGGAGTGACTGCTCAGCTGGCCCCTGTAGCATGTGATTAGATTTTTTTAATTTAAAATTTAAAAAAATAAACCCTACTCAAATGCTTAATGTTTGGTGTGCAAGCTCCTTTGATCTCCGTAGAACCCTGAATAAAAGGATTGCAAAGAGAGCTTCCAAATCTGTCAGAGAACCTGAACGAGGAGACTGGTCTCTTAGGGGACACCAAAGCAAACTCATCCAAGGTGTTCCCAGTTTCTCATAGAAATTGTAGTTTTCTGAGCACATAGCCCCTCCATACACACACTGCATTCCAAAAAGGAACACTCTCCTTTGTAAGTTCAGGCTTGGAGGCTCTTGGAGAAAAATGAAATTCGACACACCCAACCTGGAAATGGATCCCATTTGTAGGTGCTGATATTCTAGGAATAGGGTTCAAGCTGGCCAGCTAAAGGGAGTTGGGGGTCAGCAGGGAGTGGGGGAAGGGTCCAGATGAGGCACATCAAGCTTCTGAGAACCACCTCAAACACCTCTGAGGCCTGTGTTGGTGACTAGTCTTCTGAGGACTTCAGAGACTGCCTGAGCTGTTTTTGCTTTATTGTAATTCAACAGAGAAGAAAGGTATATGGAGGGGCTCTGCTAACTTAAGTCATATTTCCTTTCCTCCCTCTCTCTTTCCATATTTCTGCCTGGCTTTTCTTTATTGGCACCCCACTTGCTGCTGCTGCCATCAGCAGATAAGCCCCCCCACACACTGGTGTTTGTCTGGCCTTTCAACTTACTTTTCTGGCTTATAGTTAGAAACTAAAATAGGTCCCAAACATCTCTGCCCTATCACACTCAGTTCTGAGCCCCCTTCCGGTTCCATCTGGAAAAAATCATTTCTGGCTTTTTGGGGCCTGGCCCTCAAGCCTCTCACCTTTATCATAAGCAGCTGAATATCAGCTGAGGAAGGGGCTTGGGGGACTTAGCACCTCAGTCCCATTGGGAATGGGGAGGGAGCTCAGATGTTTAGGGACATTTCAAAGCAAGTGTCCCAGCTTGGCCCAGGAATAAAAATTTAAATCCTGAATATTCAGAATATTTTAGGGCCTCAAGAGGGTGTCAGACAAACAGGTAGGGGCAATAGGGGGTGTGCTGCTCTGTGCCAGCTCAAAGGAGCCCCAACTTCTGGTTTCTCTTATGCCTCTCAACATCCAAGCTTTGCTTTGACCCGTTTTGGAGGTTTATGAGAGTTGCAAAATTCAAGAACTAGGCACTTATGACATCACAGTGAATTGTCATGTGGAAATTGTAAATGTCATAAAAGTTATGTACAACAGGATTTTTGTGTGTGGGTGCCCAATCTCCCCTCACTTTTCTTCCTTTTCTCCTCTTATTCCCTGGTCTAACTTCTCCTGCTTGAAAATAAAATATTATTATGTTCTGGAACAATAAGCCAACAATAAAACATTTTTTTCCCTATAAATAATTTTATCCTTTATTGTTTGCAGTCTGAAAGAACCATTTAATATGCGTTGGTGAAAAGAGGGAGAGAGATGAGGAGGGGGATTAATTTCAGAAACAAGAATATTACTTACTTCCATGATACTCTTTTAGATTTGATAGCCAGGAGCAAAATTAAAGGCGAACAGCAGCCTCTCCTACTCTACACCTGGCGGGATTGGAGATTTATAGGATCTTTAGCAAAGGGGCAATTTAATTTTGTAGGATTTACTTAAATTCACTGCTATTTTGGGGGGCTGAGGAGAACGAAGTGAGAAAAATGATATGCTTTGTCTAGCTTCACAAATCTACCAACATTACCCTGATTTAAAAACCCAACAACCTGTGTCTCAGGGAAACTCCTGCAGAAAAGAATGGAGGAGTGCAGCGAGGGGAGCCCAACTTTCTTAATGACTGTGCCCCCCCTAGCCAAGAGGTTACCAGGGGGAAGGAAGAAATGTTAGCTGGAGGCAAAAGAAGGGCTGCTTGTGAGTCTCTGCCACCAGGACACCCGGAGGTTTATGGTGTCCCCATAATTCCCTGACCCTTTAAACAGCTGCCCTATTTTAGAACAATTTCTGCTTCCTCCCCTCGGAAAGGCAGGATGAGGGAGAGTGTTAGGGTGGGAGAAGGGTGTTGGAAAGGGGAGGGAGTTTGGGTTAGTGCTGCACTTTGTTCTTCTAGGGGAATTTGCTGGTTTGGCGGGTTTCTGACGCAGGGTGGCAGCAGACAAAACAAGTAAACAACTCACAGACACAATAAACAGGGGCGGCTGCAGCGCCGTGGCAGAGGACATGGGCTGGGTGAGGGGCACGGTCCTGGGGTAATGTCACCCCAGCGCCCCAGGTGGCCAAGGCTCAAAAGCCTGAGTCTGCCTGCAGTAAGTGTGGAAGGAAGGTGGAAAAATAGCTGCTGTGGGCCTCCGGCACAGCAAGTCTAGACAGGAGATTCTTGGGAGGAACCTGAGTGCCTTGGGAGTAGCAGAAAACCCCTCCAGCCCTGCTCCTGTTCTTACTTTCTTTTATAGGGCTTTCTACTGACATTTTTATTTCCCTCTGTCCTTGTCTTTTCGTGGCCCCAGAAGCTGGAAAGGCTGGAAAGGAGGCAGATTAATTCCCAGTAGCAGCCCATGCTGAGTGCTCCAGGCCCGAAGGCGGCAGGGCCCAGTTTCCACTCCTGAAAGTCTCCATCGGCCTTCTTTCTTAGCCTGGCTTTGCTTTGGTCCAGGCTGCAGTCAGGATTAAAATGCAATCCCACCAGTAACCAGATCTGCACAGACAGGGGACCTTAACTCTTAATTGGGCCCCTTACACAGTCAAATCTGGGGTAGGGTGGGGTGAGTGGACAGAATAAGCAGAGGGAGGGAGAGATGGTCACAGAACCCCTAACCCTTCTAGTTAGCCTTCTACACCAGCCTCTCCAAACACCCTGGTCTGGTCGGCAGTCACCCCAGACCACTGCCCGGAGTCACCTCATTAACTACTCCAATCCCTTCACCGCCCCAGTGAGGCTTCTGGCAGCCAGACTCCAGTTCTGACTGCTGGGAACTGCTCAGAGGCCCACAGTACCCCCACAAAACGCCCCAGAGACCTCACTTTCAAGATGACTGGGTTCCCTTGTAACAAAGCCTGTCAATT